AAGAAACTGTTGAAGTATGATCTTGAAACTATGAAGAAACTGTTGAAGTATTAGTTTGAAACTTTAAAGAAACTTTTGAAGTATGATCTTGAAACTATAAAGAAACTGTTGAAGTTTGATCTTGAAACTATATAGAAACTATTGAAGTATGGTCTTGAAACTATGAAGAAACTGTTGAAGTATGATCTTGAAACTATAAAGAAAGTATGATCTTGAAACTATGAAGAAACTGTTGAAGTATGATCTTGAAACTATAAAGAAACTGTTCAAGTATTATCTTGAAACTATTAAGAAACTGTTGAAATATGATCTTGAAACTATATAGAAACTGTTGAAGTATGATCTTGAAACTATATAGAAATTGTTGAAGTATGATCTTGAAACTATTATGAAACTGTTGAAGTATGATCTTGAAACTATATAGAAACTGTTGAAGTATGATCTTGAAACTACATAGAAACTTTTGAAGTATGATCTTGAAACTATAAAGAAACTGTTGAATATGATCTTGAAACTATAAAGAAACTGTTGAAGTATGATCTTGAAACTATGAAGAAACTGTTGAAGTATGACCTTGAAACTATAAAGAAACTGTTCAAGTATGATCTTGAAACTATTAAAAAACTGTTGAAGTATGATCTTGAAACTATAAAGGAACTGTTCAAGTATGATCTTGAAACTATTAAGAAACTGTTGAAGTATGATCTTGAAACTATAAAGAAACTGTTGAAGTATGATCTTGAAACTATGAAGAAACTGTTGAAGTATTAGTTTGAAACTTTAAAGAAACTGTTGAAGTATGATCTTGAAACTATAAAGAAACTGTTGAAGTATGATCTTGAAACTATAAAGAAACTGTTGAACGAAAAGAAAAAAGTTTTAATTTGTTGTTGTGTAGAGAGTAGACAAATAGTTGGAGATTTAGGTTTGGAACTCTCGAGTCTAGAGTTTATAGAAACTTTAGTATTTTAAAATGCATGCATTAAACTGATAAGGGTAACATGTGTCAGCAATAAAATATCTGCAAGCATATTGTTTTGTAAATTATTGTCTGATAAACACTGAATAAGATTACATTCATATTTAGTTCATATATGAACTAGCTTGGGAACCTAGTTGTCTGGAGGTTTAAAAATAATTTAAAACCAATCTAAGATCATTCTCATTCACAAACAATCAAACATACAGACAAAAAGAGAAAAATAGAAGAATTAAAAAATAAATAGTTTTCCTTAAAGAACTATATATAGAGAACTAGATAACTAGAGAACTAGAGAACTAGATAACTAGATAACTAGAGAACTAGAGAACTAGAGAACTAGATAACTAGAGAACTAGAGAACTAGATATCTAGAGAACTAGAGAACTAGATAACTAGAGAACTAGAGAACTAGAGAACTAGAGAACTAGAGAACTAGAGAACTAGAAAACTAGAGAACTAGATAACTAGAGAACTAGAGAACTAGAGAACTAGATAACTAGAGAACTAGAGAACTAGAGATCTAGAAAACTCGATAACTAGAGAACTAGAGAACTAGATAACTAGATAACTAGAGAACTAGATAACTAGAGTACTAGAGAACTAGAGAACTAGAGAACTAGAGAACTAGAGAACTAGAGAACTAGAGAACTAGATAACTAGAGAACTAGAGAAATAGAGAAATATTTACAACGGCGTCCTTGAATACGATCATTAATGTAAAAACTAACTCGTTTTAGCTAAATTTGATATTACATTGCTGATTACAGAATTATAAACTGGATTTTACAAGATGGTTGCTTTATGGGTTGTGGTTGCCAGGTTAAGAATATATTTACTCCAGGTTGTTGCTTGTGTTGGTTGCAGTAGATGGCTCCTGGTTCCCTGGTTAGTAATGTATCTCCTGAATACTATTCTCCTGCTCTGCCTCGCTATCGGTATGTTCGTGGTTCCTCTCCCCATCCTTCACCAGAACATGAACAACACTATCGAGTATCAGATGCTCAGGTACCTTATTTTTTGTAGCTCTGGATCTATAGCTTTTAAAGCTGTAACGTGTTTGTTGTAGCTTTTATTTTAAACAATTATTTGATTAAAATCTGATAGATTTTGCTTCAGATTGTGCTTATTTTAGATCACAGTGAACGTCAAAATCTGATAGATTTTGCTTCAGATTGTGCTTATTTTAGATCATAGTGAACGTCAAAATCTGTTAGATTTTGCTTCAGGTTGTGCTTATTTTAGATCATAGTGAACGTCAAAATCTGATATTTTGAGGCAGATTGGGCTTATTTTAGATCACAGTGAACGTCAAAATCTACTATTTTGCTGCAGATTGTGCTTATTTCAGTTCACATTGAACGTCAAAATCTACTATTTTGATGCAGATTGTGCTTATTTTAGATCACAGTGAACGTCAAAATCTACTATTTTGCTGCAGATTGTGCTTATTTTAGTTCACAATGAACGTCAAAATCTACTATTTTGCTGCAGATTGTGCTTATTTTAGATCACAGTGAACGTCAAAATCTACTATTTTGCTGCAGATATATGATCTTGAAACTATGAAGAAACTGTTGAAGTATGATCTTGAAACTATAAAGGAACTGTTCAAGTATGATCTTGAAACTAGAAAGAAACTGTTGAAGCATGATCTTGAAACTATGAAGAAACTGTTAAAATATTAACTTGAAACTACAAAGAAACTGTTGAAGTATGATCTTGAAACTATGAAGAAACTGTTGAAGTATGATCTTGAAACTTTAAAGAAACTGTTGTACTGAAAGAAAAAAAGTTTTAATTTGTTGTTGTGTAGAGAGTAGACAAATAGTTGGAGATTTAGGTTTGGAACTCTCGAGTCTAGAGTTTATAGAAACTTTAGTATTTTAAAATGCATGCAATAAACTGATAAGGGTACCATGTGTCAGCAATAAAATATCTGCAAGCATATTGTTTTGTAAATTATTGTCTGATAAACACTGAATAAGATTACATTCATATTTAGTTCATTTATGAACTAGCTTGGGAACCCAGCTGTCTGGAGATTTAAAAAAAAATTGAAATCAATCTAATATCATTCTAGTGGGTCTAACGATTTACCCAATAGATATTTGTGGCAAATCGGTCAAGAAGTTTTTAAGCTATGATCGTAGACACAAACAAACAAACATACAGACAAAAAGAGAAAAATAGAAGAATTAAAAAATAAATAGTTTTCCTTAAAGAACTATATAGAGAACTAGAAAACTATAGAGAACTAGAGAACTAGAGAACTAGAGAACTAGAGAACTAGAGAACTAGAGAACTAGTGAACTAGAGAACTAGAGAACTAGAGAAATAGATAACTAAAGAAATAGAGAAATAGAGAACTAGAGAACTAGAGAACTAGAGAAATAGAGAACTAGAGAACTAGAGAACTAGAGAACTAGAGAACTAGATTGATCCAGGATGTAAATGGGATCTTGTAATATAATCAAACTTAAAGGAACTGTTGCTGTAATTTTAAGTACCTTCCATTTGAAGAGGGACATGTCCGATTCACAACGGCGCCCTTAAAACCGATCATTAATGTAAAAATTAAACTCATTTTTATCTTAACTTTATATTATATTGCCGATTACAGAGTTGTAAACTGCATTTTACAAGATATGGTTGCCAGTTTAAGAATATATTTACTCCAGGTTGTTGCTTGTGTTGGTTGCAGTAGATGGCTCCTGGTTCCCTGGTTAGTAATGTATCTCCTGAATACTATTCTCCTGCTCTGCCTCGCTATCGGTATGTTCGTGGTCCCCCTCCCCATCCTTCACCAAAACATGAACAACACTATCGAGTATCAGATGCTCAGGTACCTTATTTTTTGTAGCTCTGGATCTGTAGATTTTAAAGCTGCAACGTAATTGTTGTTGTTTCTATCTTAAAAGATTATTTGGTTAAAATCTCATAGATTTTGCTTCAGATTGCCCTTATTTTAGATCACAGTGAACGTCAAAATCTGATAGATTTTGCTTCAGATTGTGCTTATTTTAGATCACAGTGAACGTCAAAATCTCATAGATTTTGCTTCAGATTGTGCTTATTTTAGATCACAGTGAACGTCAAAATCTGATAGATTTTGCTTCAGATATTGCCCTTATTTCAGATTACAGTGAACGTCAAAATCTGATATTTTGCTTCAGATTGTATTTATTTTAAATCCCAGTGCACGTCAAAATCTGATATTTTGCTGCAGATTGTGCTTATTTTAGATCACAGTGAACGTCAAAATCTACTATTTTGCTGCAGATTGTGCTTATTTTAGATCACCACAAACTCAAATTGTCAGAAACTCAAATTGTCTTTAGTCACTATATCTTTGGAATTTGATGGTGTAAATCTTTTATATTTAAATCTTAGATTATTTGAATTTGATAGTTTGAAATAACTAAGGGCTGCAAAGAAATGGGGATAAGAAAATCAGAGTGTGTGTCAAAAACTCAATTTCTTCTCATTGATTCCAATTCTATTATGAAATGAATAAGTTTATTGAACTTAATTAAGCCTGAATTAGACCTACGATAACACTCCCTTCTAATATCTCTATTTTAAATATTAAAATTTTTCCAGATGTTTGGGGTTTATACCTTTAATGTTGGCTGCTGCAGTAGCATATTTCTGGTTGGTTATCAGGTAAATTTGGTAAATACAGAGGGTTCCAGATATGGTGAGGAACATTATGTTGATTAGGTTTTTGGCCTATATTCAGAAAATATTCAAATTCTGATCCTGACAGAAAATATTCAAATTCTGATCATGACAGATAATATTCAAATTCTGATCCTGGCAGAAAATATTCAAATTCTGATCCAGACAGAAAATATTCAAATTCTGATCCAGACAGAAAATATTCAAATTCTGATCCTGGCAGAAAATATTCAAATTCTGATCCTGGCAGAAAATATTCAAATTCTGATCCTG